TTGCAGTATGTATGGACTCAGAAAAGTTGGTTTGTGGGAAATCACGGTTGGACTGCCTCTGGAGAGAAGCACCATAATAACCAGCTATCAAATCCATACCATCATCAAGGAGCTTCTTTGAATTAGACAGGAAGACATTGTGGAATGTTTCTGCTGCCCGTTTTGCACATCTGAGTTGATGCATGTGCAGCCTTTCCCCAGGATAGGCAAGGTGGATACGGTGAACGTTGACTTCAAAATTGAGATTGTGGAAAGCATTGCCTCCAATGATAGGTTCGTGTGGGTTGTTATGACAATGCCGTTCTAGGGTAATACCAACGGGAACAGTGGACTGGGTGAAATCTAAAGGGTGCCATAAACTGAGAGAATAATTATGTGGCAAGCTGGTGTCAGTGCATTTCATGCGCCTCTTCTTGCCCTTTGAGCCTCCCCAGATTTGTTGTGGTTGTCTCATGTTTAACTTTGCAGAGCATTGAGTTCCCTTCACTTTTGGTTTCACTTTGCAGAGCATTGAGTTTGTTGGAAATGGAGGCATTCAGAATGTGAACTTTAGAGTTGATTCCAAGGGCATGGGGACAGTTACAGTGTCAACAGATCATTTTGATATTAGCAGAAGTGAAGTGCCCACACAACTTGTCATGTTGCTCTGTGTTGCCTACAAAGAAAATGACAGCAAACTTCAATCTCACATTTCAGAGTTTACCATTCCATGGACAATTGTGCCACAAAATATTGTCGCTCTTGGTTGCTCGGTCCTGCTCGATGGTGAATCTGTCGCCGCCGATGGTGCCGGTGGTCCGCCCCCCCCCCCCGCCCCCCACGCGGGGACGACGACGAGTTGCTTTCTTGTGTCGAAGGGTTCGCAGGAAGGAAGAGCACCGCGAGACCGGGTTCGCATCCTTTCCATCGCACGGGACCAACCGGTGCGGTGCTTCCGCGAGTCCCGGCCGGAGGGGTGGTGTTGGGTGTGCCGTGCCGTGCCGAACCGCAACGGGTGCGTACGATGGCAGCGCCTTTTTTGTTCTTTTCTGTTTTGGTTTGTTTTGACAAGACCGCAAAAATGCTTYGGGGAACAGAACGAGCGGACGGTGTCTAGATCGATTCGATCTTCGATCGAGGCACCTCATGATCCCACGACTCCGAATTCTTCTTTTTCTTTTTAGGAATAGTTGTTGACTTTTGACCCACGAGTGCAATGACTCCTGATTCAACTCGTGTCGTGGGATCCCTCGGATTCGATCGTGTAAGACGCCGAAGAAATGAAAATGAGGTAAAAAATCAGCAATACATACCGTAGCGCAGCAAAAAACTAGGGCCCTCGCTCGAGAGTGATTAGTTAGTTTCGTACAGTAAGTACGAGTATGTACAGTATGAATTAAGTAAGTACCGTACTGTACACACTTTCTGTATCRTAGTACGAGTACTCGTAYGTAGCTCACTCTTGCATTATTCTTTTACGCAGGGATGTTGTCACAGCATCAGCCAAAATCGACGCGCGTGTGACCGGAATTACGCCGAGAACAGGACTCACCCTGGGCGCTGGTATCGAGAGTGCGTGCAATCCAAGCGCGCCCACATGTTTTTGTCGAGGGGCATAATGGAGTAGCGCGACGTTGTCCGTCACAACGACCTAAATGATGACCAGTTTGYCGTGCAGTGTCTTTAAATCCTTGTGYACGGTCCATCGATTTTGTTCGCGCAACACGTTTCGAGCAAACACACCAAAAATTCGACGAGTTCGTACGATTGGTCTTGAACGTACGAAGCATTCGCGGCACTAGCTTCTTACGGTAGTTGCTGATGTCTMARGCGTTGAACATCTTTTCCATTCGAAGACACAACGCCACARCGACACGCCACAACGCCACAAGCACAAAGGAAACACCCACGACAAAGACRAAAAAGCGATTGGAAMCTGTCACGAATTCCAGCGAGAGAAAGACTTGGATCACAAACCGCTGTTTGTTTAGGAACCCGAAACCCGAAACCCTTCCCTCCTACTTCCACGGCCATGGCGAGATACAATTGCACCGGTGGCAGYGCGGCAGTGCGGCTCCTCGCCGTAACGCTGATCGCGCTTCACGGCACGGGACCCGACACCGGCTCCGGCTCCAACCCCCTGGCGACGGCGTCGCTCCTGATTCCGACCCGGAACCGAAACAATCGCGAGGAACGAACGACTCAAGCCTCTCTCCGGGGCTCCGCAAGCGCAGGCCTTTCCGTTCCCACCGAAGGGGACGACGGCAGCAGCGACTACGACAACGACAGCGACTACGACTACGACAACGACTACGACAACGACAGCGAGCGGTACCTGCAAGACTCGACCCCGACGTCGGCCCCTACGACGTTCGTGCCCACAATCACGGACACGACGGAGCCATCGACCTTCGYGCCCACCTCGACCAACCCGCCGACGATTACCCCCCTGCCCTCGGCGACGGCTTCTTCCACGAATTCCGGCACGGGGACGACGGRAGGCACCAATGGCGACCCCGAGGACGACAGCACCCCCGCGACACCGACGGAGGCCCCGGTGGCGGGGAGCAACCCTCTCCCCGCCACCCCCGTCCCGGCCCCCGGGCCCTCCCCTCCGGGGACGCCGCAGGTCCCCGCTACACCGGGGACGCCGCAGGTCCCCGCTACACCGGGGACGCCGCAGGTCCCCGCTACACCGGGCACGCCGCAGGTCCCCGCTACACCGAACACGCCGCAGGTCCCCGCTACACCGAACACGCCGCAGGTCCCCGCCACACCGAACACGCCGCAGGTCCCCGCCACACCGGGCACCACGGCCGCCCCCACGAAGTCCCCCACAAAGTCCCCCACCCAGAGCCCCACCCGGAAGGGCGCCACGGCCCGGCCCACGGCCTCCCCCACCAAGATACCGACGCAGAGGCCCACCCTGCCCGGCGAGACCCGGGACCCCACGAAGCGGCCCACGGCGGCGCCCACCGCCGCCGCCACCGCCTTTCCCACGAGGCGGCCCGGTACGCCCACCACCCCCATGCCGACCATGGAGGTGGTGAAAGTCGACCCCGAAACCAGCACCAACGGGATCGTCGCCATCAACAACGGCAGCAACAACGTTGCCACCGTTCCCGGCAGCGTACCCGCCACCGTTCCCGGCAGCGTGCCCGCTACTCCCCCCCCGGCCCCGACCCCCAGCATCCCCCTGCGGGTGCCCACCTCCTCGGTCTCGCAGCCGGCCCAGAATCGGCCGATCTTTGTGGCTCCCGGTGTGTACACCGGCCCGAACCCCGACTACAACCCGCTCAACAACGGGGGGGACATCCAGGCACAGGTCAGCTACGTCAACGGGTACATGGTCCGGCGGAGCTACATTCTCATCTAGCGGCCGGGAAATGCACCGCAGCGCACCCTTTCGGATTTGCAATTTGGCCACAKTGCGTGTACACTAATTCAGGACCCAGAGCACACGTGTAGAATAATAGAAGCGCATACGTGCGGCGCTTACGATAACAAGAATACCACTCATACATAATACAATACGTGCAGAAAACCCAAGCCTACTGCAATAACTAGTTCTAAAATCCAACCCCTGTCTTTCTTGCCCCAAGTTGAACTGAACGGAGTCATCATTTTGGTTTTCATCCCAAAGACATTTCCGTCTTTCTTTGCACTTGCGATGTAGACGCATTGCGGAGGAACCAATTGTTGAACCAAGGCACAGGTGTAAAAAATAGGACGCAAACGCACTTCGTTTTTTGGCAGCAACAATTATACAACTACGAGCAGAAAAACCCAAGCCTAATACAATAATTGGATCGTCTTCACCCGAAACAATGGCGATGTTTTTTTGAACCCTAGCACTCTGTTTGGAGCAGAGGCACGATGGYTATTATTTGGTTTGCCTTCCAACCCCTGTATTTTATCGGTTGCAAACCAATCCAAGGGGTTTCCGAGCTYATCGAAGGGAATCACGATTGTTCTTTTTGAAAGCCCGAAGGTTGCATTCGTTCCGAAGGCATTGCTTGCTTTTCATCTTGCGCAGGGAATCATGCTCGAGCCCGCATCAGTTTCCGTTGTTTTTTACGAAGAACTTTCCTGACCGGGAATGCTCCGCTACGACACTCCCGTCGGATGCCATTAACAGCCATTGCCATTGCCATTGTCATTGCCATTTGCCGTTGTCACGCACCCCTCCAACCGAGAATGGGGGCTGGGGGTGGAGCTGTCGGTCTTTTTCCAAACCGGTGGTCCTCAGTCCCCTCCGCCCGACGAAGCCAGGACAATCCCRCGGCCGGTAATCCGGGAATCGATCGCCGCTACGGTCTCGGGGTGGTACCTCCCCGCCAGGGCGCCGCACAGCAACGCGTACCGGGTGTGGTCGGACCCGAGCCGGAGACAACCCGGGTGTTCCAGGTGGTCCCCCGCCCGGAGGCAGCACGGGAGGGCCAGCCAGGCCATCCCCCGGTCCCTGGCCAGCTCGATGGATTCGTGCGTGAGTTCCTTGCAGCCGTGCACACAGAGGACCAGCGTGTGCTTCTCCCCCCCGCCAACCCGCTCGTCTTCCATCTCGGCAATCGCGGAGAGGTCCCCGGTTCGAAAGACCAGGTTGTCCATGGACGTTCCGGTCGATGCAAAGGCATCGCGCTGCGCCAAAAAAGATTCCCTCGGCACCAGATCGATCGACCGCACCTCGATGGAAGGGTAGCTCGCGGCGATGAGCATTCCAACCAGGCCGTGCCCACACCCAATGTCGTAGACGCGGGTCAATCGCTTCGGCTTCTGGCCCTGTTCCGTGCTTCGCTTCAGTAWCGCGTCGACGACCTGGAAATAGACCTCGACGGATTCCAGCAATTCCTTGACGCGGACRTACTTGGGAGGCAACGCCGAGACCATGTCGATCAACCCTGGGATCCCGCTCGACGAAGCGTGGAGGTACCGGAACAAGGCCGCGCGTTTCGAGGGGGGAAGGTCGTGCAGCCGCAGCCTCGGATCGATCTGGTTGCCCGCGCCGCCCTGGAAGTTGTTCCCGGTGTGCGAGGAAGACGGCGATGCGCCCGGCGTCCCGACCATTCCGCTCGCCACAAATTTCGCCTTGGAACTTCTGCTCCTGGCCCGCAGGCCTTCCATGAACTTGTCCAGGGACCACGCCCGTGCCACGTCTATTTTGGTCACGGATTCGTCGAAAAAGACGGATGGAGAAGCACCGCGRTTTCCGAGTTCGACGTAGTCCTCCCAGACGGCATCCCCATCGGCAACCACCGCCTTGTGGCGTTTCCCRTTCAAGTGTTCGATGAGACTCTTGCGCTTGTTGAAACCAACGCTGCAATAATCGCACCAGTAACCTTTCTTCGAAGAATTCGGATCTTGGTTTTGGCTCACTGGCGCAGACAATAAATCATCTTTCAGAACCGAACCAAAGCTGTTGTAAGACAGGGAGGCAACTTCGGAGATCACGAAGGTGACAACAATGAGTTGTACCGCAAGTGAGAGCACCAGTCGGCAAGGCGACAGGCTATTGTACATTCTTCGAAGCCCACAGTCGATCCCCATTGCGATAAGTCTTGGTGCTCTTGCTTTCGAAATGTGCTGGAGGAGCTTCGATTGCCACTCCTTTTGATGGAGAACGCACTCACTGAGACAGATAATGTGAATATCAGTTATTTTTCTGTTGGTCGGGTTCTACGTAACTCGTACCTTCCGTCGTTCGTGATAGCCGGCGAAAATCTTCAGGATTTTTTTCTTCGCGAGGAAAAAAAGTGGACGTCAGGATGATGCCGGAATGCGTCACGAATTTGCCAAGTGCGAGTGCGTACAGTACCGTATGTTCTGTACAACAATATCATACAGTATTATCAAAATTTTAATAGTAATGCAGCGCAGAGTAACGGGGTAGTACGTACAAATAGTAGCTACCGTACATAAAAGGGGAAATTGATAATTGATGAAATTTCAATCAGTATTTTGATCGATTTCCATGTCGCATCACGGACAGAACTTTAGTAGGTACTGGTACGTACGTTAGCCCAGGTAATAGGTACTTACGCGCTTACTCGTCGTATGAACTGCACTCTCTTCTTGGTAATGAATCTATCTTTCGAGGCGGCTGAGGTTCGTGCCTGTACCGAGGTTCAAACTGAATGGCACGTGAATAGATATACCGATATACTGTACCGTGACTAAAATCGAAAGTCATTGCTTTGGGAATATGACTCTTGGGACGGTTGTCGAAGGATCGTGACAAGATATCACTATCGAAGAAAAGCTACTACGATCGTACGTACAATGACCGGATGTTTTTTAGTAGAAGTACTACTGGACTGTACTTGACAATTGACCCTGTCCGGTACGGTAGTAGTTCTGCACAAAGCAGTTCGCATCATGTCGAGGATTCCGCAGCTGAGACTCTTGCAATATTGGGAGACACAATCGCATCGTTACTTCTTTTAACGACCAATCTTTGAAATTCAAGCAACAACAAGGACGGACTGAGACCAACCTTTCAATTGTAATACTCCCATTTTCTCATCAGCATCGAAAGCATTGAATACGATTTAATCATGCCAGAATTCGGAGACCCTGGATATGTATATGACCCCATGGATCCTCTTCCTGGGCAGAAATATGTTGAGTATTCAAAAGACGGAGAAGACGGCGAAACCAAAATCAAGGACGTCGATTCGGGCCTGAAGTTCGAAATCAAGGGAAAATACATTTTTCTGAAAGAAGTCAAACACCCTGCGCCGACCCACAACCTGCACCCTGGAGATCGCGTCATCGCAGTGAACGGCAAGACAGTCGAAAAATACAAGAAAGATTTGACGAAAATCAAAACAGCAGTCGATGACCACAACGTCGTTCGATTGGTAGTCGACCCGACCACGCTTCGAAAGTAATGTGCGGAAAGAAAAAGGAATGTAAGCTAGTAAATCTCATTTTGTCGTGTGRTCGACAATGAAATGTTGATGCTAGGTTTGGGTTCTACTGTCAAAAAGTCGAGCAACGGTCATKTACCTTATCTGCTAAGTTCGTTTGCGTTCATGAAACATCGTCAATAATCAAGTAATCRTAACGAATAACTCGTARTAGTKTACTTGTTATATTCTTRATTYGGTTTCTCTATCCTTCGCGTTGGTTTGAGTGTTTTGGCTTCGCATCGAGCKGTACGATGTTATTCGACGGCWGCATTGAATTGGTAGAGAGATTTTATTMCAGCATTCCTCGCGAAATAGAAAAACTAAGAGACTTATGGCCMCTTGCTCCATCCCTAAGAATGATGATTGCAACGAATGYTTGCAATCGTTTYWATCGAATTGTTGGATTGGTGCTTGTTTCCGACTTTTTTTACGTACGGTCGAATTGTTGCACACAATGCTACTCGCAACTGGAACGACTCTTGAGACGAACAAGTTCAATGGCAGATTGCTGAACTTTTTCCAATTTAATTCTTCAGAACAATTGGACGGAGTCATCTCCATCACATCATCTGTTAGATGTTACAGAAGGATATCTGCAAGAGCTACGAAGCAGCGAAGGGCATWGCTTTTACGAGTAGTGCTCTTCGAAAACAAGAGATGGAGCGAATGCTCTAAAAACCAGAGCTGATAAAATYAGAATATATTACCTGACATTTTCTCAAAATCCCATGATGAAAAATAGGAATGGTGATAGCGAACGACAATTACACCATGTCAATTAAGTAGCTCACATGAAGCTTCTTTCTGATTCCAAACTGTTCCAACATGTTCCAAGGGTAATGTCCTGCTCATTAGGAGTTCTATCGTTCTAATTATTTTTATGATAATTGGTACCGCAACTTCGACTTCTGAATAATTGAAAAGCGGTTTGTAGCAGTCGCYACTGAACTCTGTCAATAATTCTGCCCCTTTCTCCTCTTATTAGACAATGTTTCGTTCCTAGAGATGGGTTTTATTATCAATCCCAAAGATTSTATTGTGTCAGTATTTATGGGCGAAATGGATTCGAGAGATTCATCTTCGCCCCTTCCTTTCTTTTGTCCATCGCCTCGATTTTCGTTCTCCTCGTCCTCGTTGTCAGCATGCCATTTGGACATCGTTCGGAAACTGTGAGATACCTTTAAACGCGCCGTTTCAAAGTCAACTTTATCCCAATCCACTCCTTTTCCATTCTCTRCCTTCTTCAGGAAGCGACCGCCGGATCGCAATATGTCGTTAACTACTTTAGCTGTTATTGCCTTCTTATGCATTTTTTTCGATGTAGTGTATTCATCTCGGTATTGGTCGATAATGGCTGTTAGAGCAAGATTTCCCGGATACAACTGAAAGGGACGACCTCTACCCAGGAGTACATCGTTTGGTCTAGGAAGCAGCCTCGWGTTTTGTTTCTGTTGACAGTATTGATCAAATTTTTGGCATTGTTGCAAAAAGCTATGCGCAGACGCTGCATGGCCCATCAAGCCATCACTTTCAAACTCCTCTAGATCGATGCCGAAACTTTTCAGTGTGTACGTAGATTCCATTCGGGAACCTAAGTCGAGAGGAAAAGAATAGAATGATGAGGAGAGTTAGAAATAAAAATCATTCCACAAACCATTCATGGTGCATCATAAATTGATGGCGCGAAACCTCATTGAAACATGGACAGCTTGCGACCAACGAGCTAAACTTCTTACCACAGTGGCTTCTCAATCGTATWCGAGCGTATTTTCCTAAACTCATCATCAGTGTCGTCTGCAAAGCCGACGCCAGTATGTTTTTTTCAAAGCAAAAATGAACGCTAGCGAACTTRTAYGGTAATGCATTTCCCAAAAATGCAGTCTTRGGGACAAAATGTTCACGAGATAGGTTCTCGAAGACATTGCACATCCCATGCGCAAAATATACACCAACGACGCCAAGTTTTGACAGACTGGGAAACATCTGAATATATCTAAGCGAAATATACCATACGGCTCGATTCTATAGAATGTAGACCAAAACAAAAGATGAAACTGGTGAGACAAAAAACAATCGAACTCAGAAAATTTGAAGATGTTACGGGTTTTTTCATTGTCGAGAAAACATTTCAACAAAGGGGAACGCACCATGTCCATCARCGTTCCGGTCTTCAGAAATTCGCTTAGATTGCAAATCATGACATGGCGACCGGCTCGATCGGGTTTGGGCAAACAATACACAAAGCCCGAATTCAAAATGTTTTTTTCAACTTCGCTCAAATCRTCGTACATGATGTCCCGTACGAGTGTGTGTTCCCCAAAAAGTTCCAATTTATATTTGAAATGCTCTACCAATCGGATCGCMGCCTTTCGTGGATTATAGTTATCAGTTCGTAGAAAATATATGACAAAATCCGGATCAGTAACGTAAGCGCTACTAAGGAAGGCTGCCTTCTCGTACGCTTGTTTGTATCTTATTCGCTTCAATTCCTCTTTGACCTGGTCCAGGAGATTTTGTATTTCCATGGGATCTTCATCGCTGACTTCAACCACTCCATGWATTTCCTCAAGCGCTTTCTCTCTATCTTCTATGCTCAATCTACTCAATTCGGATGCAATCAAAGAAGACAAGTCGGTGTGTTTGCTGCTACTAACACCAACGTTATCGTGCTGATCTTTGTTTTTCGTTCTACTTCGCCTCCTCCGCACTTTATTGAATGTTTGCGACGTCTGGTTAAGGAAAATGTCTGCACCAGGTGCGTCGTATGTGGAGGTGGGAGAAATGTTGGTCTGTATTTCTTGTTGTTGACCGCCGTCACATCCCAAACTGCAMATGTACCAGCCATCGGCAGCGGCATCGCGATTGTACGGATCCTCAATAGAATCTTTAGCAGCGTCGGATTTACTCACATCCTCTAAAGACCTACGTTTCATATTTCAACCTTGCTCTGTCAAATGAACGTATAATCTTACCGATTATCCAACTAGTCGAAGGTTTCTTGAAGGGTGCCGCGAGCTTTCAGCACACACATCGTCGGGATTTTGAGAGTGAAACCGAAACACTCGTTTACTAGTAAATTTTGGGTTCTTCTTGAAAAATGCATAGAAGATTAGGCCATTTCTGGATTAACGGAAATTATCTTGAAATACGTACTGAATAGGCGCAATAAATAAGCAGAGATACTTTTGTAGTTCTTCAACTAAAAATTGTCATTTTGSTTCCTTRTGAAGCGACTTTCCATAGRCAAAATACGACAATGTACAACCAATTTTGTTWATGTAGTAAGCTGGAGACTTGAATGTCGTTATATTCGTAACTTGAATGAGCGACAAAGCCAATGCTTATAGGATAATGCCCCTTATGATTTATGTGTTCAATAGTTTAGTTGTTCTCCGGCGAGATATATTCGGCGAGATAAATGAATTTTTTATGTGGCACGTTCATGCAAAACATTTTGTTCCGKAGATAATAAACTTTTCTATTTCGAGATTGTATTTTTCCTATTTAATGTACCCCCCGCTAAAACAAAATATTTCAGTTCTTCATACTTAACAACAAAAATTTTAATTAAACTCAGTGCTTTTAATTGTCAAAGCTTCTTGGTGATCRAATCGAAAGTGAAAACCGAAGCAAAAACCAATTTTTCTATCAGACCTTTTGACTCGATCGATTCGAACACATTGTTCAACGCTTTTGATTTGGCAACTGAGTTTCCCAGACAACTTCCGCACATCAACACAATCAACACCATAGTTGGCAATAATATTAATGAGAAGAACAATATCAGCATCCGGATACACCAACTGAAAGAAGYTACGMACACACTTTTCTCGCTATGTCGACGCGGAAAGATATGGAGTCAACAATCCGAGCCGTGCGATGCCACCGCTTTGCTTGCGTCGAGAAAAAGAATGACCCCGATGAAGAGAACGGACGGAAAGGCCCATCCAGATCTACCTATCAGCGCCGGTCGCCGAAAGCCTTGCGATTGAAGGATTGCTTGAGCCTCGATCGAATCGCTTTTATCGAGAGCACGAACCCATCAGAGACGAGGAATGATACCCGGGTCTTGATTCGAACCGAGTATGCGGGAATCCAATATCCCGATGCCCTGCAGGCTCTGGGATTGTACCAAGTCAAACCCGAACTACCCTACGTTCCTGGAATGGACGTAGTGGGGGTCGTGCTGAAARTTATTCCATCACCCTCCAGGAGCAATTCCAACGTTGCTGCGAGGATACAACCGGGCGATCGCGTCCTGGCCACCATGATGGACTTTGGCGGGACGGGTGGTCTATCCGAGATCGTCCTTGCGCCTCTGAAACACGTCTACAAGCTTCCCAAGCTGTCTCCATCGCGTTGTCCCGTTCAATCTGCAGCGGGATTCGCTAATGTGGGACGGAATTATTTTGCTGCGTACCATGCTCTCGTCGAGGTGGGGGGCATCCGACTAAACACAGCCTACCATCCCAACACCAACCACGACAAAATCATCTTGGTGACCGGTGCCAGTGGTGGGGTCGGGATGGCTACTATCGAACTGGCAAAAKCTATGGGATGCACAGTCATTGCCGGCGTTGGATCCAATTCCAAACGAGAGGGACCGATCTCGGTGGGTGCCGATGCCGTGCTTTGCTATGGTCGGTCCAAGGCCGAGCGCAAACAATTTCGGAAGCAGGTCCTTGAAGTGAGCAAGACAATGGCAATGRCACGAAAGGCAAACAAAGGAGTCGATTTGATTGTGGATGTGGTAATGGGAAATCTCTTTGAAGAAGCCCTTGTGGGCTGCCTCAAGCCTCTGGGGACGATAGCTCTGGTTGGATTCGCCGCTGGACAGAAACCGATCCGGCCGGGCATCTTGCTGGTAAAAGAGGTGCGAGTGGCCGGAAGCATCTGGGGTTCGATCGCTTTGGAAGCAACGGAAGAAAGAAGCGACAACAAATACCAAACTATGGTAGAAACCATTCTCGGATTTTTTGCCACCGGGGCCATTAAGGGAAGGGTCGATCGTATTGTCCCGCTGAACAGATTCATCGAGGCATTCGAAGTCTTTGAAGTGAACAAGGGGCGTGGCAACACTGTGATTTCTTTTGTAGATCATCACGACGATTCCAGAGCTGAAAGCAACAATGCAAGAAGTCGACTGTAGTGGGTTACAGTAAGCTRATGTACTTCTAATATGTTCAATTATTAAACGAGCTACAGAAAGTACGCTTTTCATAGATAATTTCGTACAATATAGTGTTGTTTGCCTCGTTTGGTGATACTACACCATTAGCTTCGATARCGAGCTGCACTGTTATATCATCTGTACAGCGGCTGTATTCATAAGCGTAACAAAGATTGCGAGAACAATCTGCAAACAATTGTTCCTGCCTAGACTACAGAAGCCATACAATTGAGCAAGGCTTTKCGTTGTGGAGAATCCCTGTAGGTCGCTTGCACAAGTCGCGCCAATTCTTGGCTAGCCACGTTTCGAAAAACTCCCGATGAGAGGGCTTGTTCCACCTGTACCAATTGTTCGAGTTCCAAGAAATTTCCGAAGGCCTCGAAGCGACCCCATTCTAGCGCGTACGGTTTCGGATCTTCTTGTTGCGCTTTCCCCTCGTCGAACAAGAGTTTCCTGATGTCGACTGTGGCCTTCCGAAAAAGGGCACCCGTAAATTGTCGAGCGCTATCCGAAATCACCGTAGCGTTAGACGTTATTTCATTAAGGTAGAGGGCGAAGACAACGTCTGCGAGATAGCCCATGGATCGAAGAAATACAGATTTTGATAGAATAGACTTCCAAGCTTGTGCTAGGTGACGCAAGTGGTAGATCCCAGCAGCCAGGGCCGTCTCAGCTTCTGACCATTCGTGGAGGGACTCTTCCGATCGAAGKGCCTGACCAAAGTAGGTTATCCTGCTTCCAACGATTTCGGCCAATTGGTGCTTTTGTAGATCAAGCATATCGTTCAAAGAGGTATCGGCGAGCTCCCGAAACAAGGGGACCATGTCAACAAATATGCAAGTTTGCTTCAGCAGTTTCCCCCGGGCATCATCCTCGTCTACCTGAGGAAATTTCTCCTTATACTCAAGCCCCAGGGTCAAGCAATGGTGGGCCAAAAAGACAGCGTCATTGTGCAGAACTGCTGCAGTTCGCGGAACGTTGGCAACTTCTCTCCCATGATTRGCGGGTATGATAGAACGAAAGAGGCTAAACATTTCTCGTGCCGTCTTATAGAGGATTGGTCGCAAGATTGCCAGCGGCGAATCTTGTGGCACACTTACCATCGCCACGGAATCGTCCATGGTCTGTCGAACCARTGCCACGAGTTTGTTGGCTGTATCGGAGATGCTGCACCGAGATAACCGAAAYACTGCTAGAGCAGCMTCTTGTGAATACTCGGCGGGGGTTGGGCTTTCYTCCACACCCACTGTTACCGTGTTGTGATAGTCATTCTGAATCAGAATTTGACGGGCTTGATTCAAACAYACGCACCTGCGATGATCGATGAAATTCTTTTCGAAGCTCTGACARAATACCACCAGTCTCGATGGAGAATCCTGTTTGAGAAAATGCAAATCCTCAAGATCTCGACAAAAGGGAAGRGTAGAGTCCATTAGCTCTTCACGCATGATGGAAACATGATCTAAATCATTGGGCGCAGCGGWTCCCAATGCATCCTTYCCATAATTTATCGACAAGCAATGCTCACGCAACCAATCTAGCATGGCTTCCACCAACACTCCCTGATCGCTTTCTCCCAGCAATGTAGATTCGAGGCCAAGGGCTGATAGATTCACGAGACTTGGCATGGCATCGGGTGTTCCAAAGAGTCTTTTTCCAACCATGGAGCACATAGCTTCTTTCTGYAAGAGAACCTTTGACTGGACAAAGACTAAGATACGCTTCAAGACATCCAACACATTCTGCCACGAGTTTACCACCGCGAAGGAAAAYGTCTTGGTGCCTTCCTCCGAAATGGGTGAAATTTGGTTTTCATCGCCCTCCCCATCATGCATAAAGTTCCATTCGATGACGTGCATAGTTCCTCTCTTGTTTGCGGTAGACACKCCAATAATGTTGGTTCGCTTATCAGCTGTTTCTTCAACCGTCCATCCGCGAGTTCCGTCGCTGTTGTTGTCAGATGGCACTCGATTRGTCAATATCGGTTTAAAGGCTTCCTCGTACAACCTAGTGGTGAATCCACGCAAGGTATCCTGCAGGGCAGAATTTTTAGGTTTCCTACCAGCCTGGTGATTTCTGATTGCCCCGTCATCGAGGGTTTCGAGAACCCGATAGGCATTGCCGAGTTGCGGCGAGGATTTCACGGAAATCGAAGTCGCSGTCACTTCGACACTACTATCCAGAACAGTTCCAGCTTTATGTATAAGGTCGACACGATGGCGGCGGATTTGGTGCCGTAAGCTGAATAGAATCTGGTGAGCAACCTCGATTTCTTTTTGCCGGTCGATCGTCGACGATGATTCTTTCAGAATATGTTCCGCCTTGTCCACTTCCTGGAGGGCACGCAAGAGAGTTTGAGCGGACCGCACTAAATTGTCGGGTGCTTCTCCTTTGTCTGTCGTGGAAGTTGCCGCAGTCGTGGCGGTAGCGCCCATGGATGCTGCCGAAGAGGACAACGTGGCACTTTCCTCTAGACAGGATCTYGCTAAACTGGCTTGTTTCAAAAAGGCAACCTTTCGCCTGTATTTTTCGATTTGGCTGCCTAGATCTCTATTCGATGAAGACAACGAATCATCACCTGTTTGATCGAATCCCGAAGACTGGTTTTCGGGCATGGCATCGCTTTCTTTTTGAATTCTAGCTAGATCTCGTTCGACTTGTTCTAGTTTCTCTCGAACCGCCAGTTCCAATCCACTGGTGGTGGTGGTAATGTTGTCGCCCCTGTTCATACTGGAATCMAATCCTGTTCCACCCCCTCCGCTCCCAAACAAGTCCATCCCCAAGAGAAAAGACGCATTTTCTTTTTGCAAGGACGAAAGCGAAGGCGAATGACCGCTGGCCTCCTTCCAAGCTTCCTGGGTTGCCTTTTGAACGGCGCCGCGGACTTTGTTCAGTCGATCCTTTAAAAGGTCGGCACTGTCTAACATTTGGTCATCATTGTCGTAAGCGAACGATCGTTCGTGGAGGGTTTCCATGCTGGCTTGAGGTCGGGGATTTCGGGCTTTCTTGTACTGCGACTATTTGATAGTTTTGGTCCGATTCTTTCGTGTCTTCAATTAGCAACATGGTCAACAAGTTTCAGGTACAGTACGTACAGTACGGTACGATACTCGAATTATTAATTTAAAAAAAAATTCCAACGACGAGCCGGTCTGCGTACTGTACTGTAGAGTGATTTTGAAATAGAAACTATATCAGTACGTCCCTACTGCGTGTTAATACGTGGTATACAATACAGGAGTGAGGTTATTCACTAGCTACTCGGGATTTAGCCTCACAACTTATACCGTAGGGTCCCGTCAGAATAATTGCCATAATTTTCCGATCGTCACAACTACGAAGTACCGGTACGTATGGTACAGTACGGTAGTCCATTTCATACGGACGGAGGCTAGGGTACGTAACGAAACATAAGTACTGGATCCTGTAAATAGTTACTGTACTACCGTACGAGGGCATACTGGAAGTACCAGGTACGGTACGATGAACTACTGTATTGTATTTTTTTGTGACTTCTCCAAGCCAGCTCACAGAAAGTCTATGACCCCCCCGCCGCGCCGCCGCATGCACGCCCGCCCCAGCCATCGCCTGTACCTTACCGTACCGTACCGCTCCGATCCTGTACAACACCCTGGTGCGTACACATTCCTCTGATAGTTTTCTATTTTTAGAGCTAAATCTGAAAAAATCTTCCCTTCAACAAATTTTATGAATTCGTCGACGAAATCAGGCGAGAGGAACAATTGTAAAGGAGGATGGACCTGTTGCAATCGACGAAGTGATACTGATCAGTCAAATCGGGTGGCATTCTTTGTCTCTCTGCGACCGAGAGGGCGCTATCAATGCAGCATCAAAACACTGCTGATCGAGCAATAAAACACTACGATAGGTTTCCACTTCGATTCCATTGTATTCAATCCTGTCGAGTCGGCTACTCGAGTCGATTCTACAGTCTAGCACAGCACCAATCCGGCTTACACCAAATCAGCGATTGMTATCGATAAAAATTCGAATTCTTCGTTACAGATTCAGCTAGCATTGCTACCATGGCGAAGGATAAGGACAAAGACGCGGCCGCCGTGAAGATTCAGGCACTTGCCCGTGGCCGCCGAGACCGCAAGAAAGTCGATGGGCTCCTCCAAGGGCTTATCGAAAGCCTAATGGCATCCAAGGAAGGAAAAAAGAAATCAGGAAAGAAATCGAAATCCAAACCAAAGACCAAGAAAAAGGAAAAGAAGGAGAAAAAGAAGTCGGCTTGGTGCTGCAAAGGCGACGTAAGCGCCGTCGAAGAAGAAATTATCGAGGTAGTTGAAATTGTTACCGTCGTGGATAGCAAGCCAGAAACAACAYCCAAGGAATCCACAGCAAAGACCTCTGTACCRGCGMRAGGTRCAGCCGCCCCAAAGGYGCSCACGCCAAAGGTTTCCGAATTCGATCGCTACAACCAACAACAAAAACAAGAACAGGCCGCCAGAGCGATGGCGAGGCCACCGGGGCTAAAGCCCACAAAATCGTGGAGGGAACCACCTTCGGGGGGAAAAGCTGCCCGGCCCGAATGGATGGAAAAGGCAAAGTCCTTTCGGGACGCATCGGAGAAATCGGCCGCGTCGTCGACGGCGGCGGCCTCCAAGGGTCCGGTCGACCCCAGGAAGCCGCCTCCCCCGAAACCTCAGGGAAAGCACAAGAGCGCCCTCGTGAACCGCTACCTCGAGGCCGCGGCGAGGCAAAACGAGGGCGAGAAAAAGAATGAGRACGAGGCATCCAAAATAATCGAGACGCGAAACCTGGAAGAAGAGAAGGCCAAAAAGGAAGAAGAGGACGCCAAAAGGGAAGAAGAAGAGAAGGCMAAGGCTGCCGAAATCGAGGCGGATCGGGCAAAGAACGCGGGCAAGAAAAAATGGAAGGGCAAKACGACTGCCTACCAGAACCACCCTCCGAACGTCCCCAAGCCGTGGGAAAAGAAAKCTAAGCAACCGCCGGGTTCGGAAGTCCCGTCCGGGTCCTCCGACGCGGATGTAGCCGCAAAGCCCCGGGAGCCGGTGCCAGAAGGCGGCGACGCCAAAGACAAGGTGGCTTCTCTCAACGACAATCTCATGAACAAAACATCGGARACGACCACCGGAAMAATGACGATGTCGACGCTGTCTCCACCCTCTGGATATGACGAGAGCCAGGGGCTACCRCTGTGGTGGATGCAACTCGTTCCGCACAACACAAACCACAAGGGGAACACTGGGTCCGCCAAGGGAAAGAACAAGGTCATATAYAAAATCGACAAGAATCATCCCCCGGCAAAGAGGGCGAAACTTCAGGCCATTTCGGAGGGCGACGAACCCGAAGCACCCAAAACGACGTCGAACCGAAGTGCTCCGGCGTCTTCGTCTCGTAAGAAAAAGTCCGGGATTTTTGCCAAGTGGTTCTCTCGCCCCCGCAGGCGCTCGATGGGGGAATTCTAACCACATCGACACCGACCATCGTCCGGGGATCTATTAGGCGCCGAAAGATGTGGTAGTGTTTTCCTCTCCGGAARCCGTGATGCCGGCGAGGGCGATCACACATGCAGTGCCGTCTGTGAGCAGCAGTAGAATCAATGCCACTGAMAAATTGATACTAATAGTAGTGTCAATCAATCCATACGTGCTTTTCAAACTTCTATTKTTCGGGGTTAAACTTATGATTGTATTTAGTTTTCTTATTTTTTTGGTAGTTTTGTTTTGCCTGTGCTTCTTGGAAGACTATTATGTGCAGTAATTTTTTGGATTGGTTGGGAGGTTGTTTGAGGTCTTGTAGGCACTGCAATCAACACCAACATCTTTTTGCAACAAGCCGTGTGAAACAAGTACGTACGCTACCCGCTGCCATCCACAGTTTCGTCTCGAAGGGCTTGCTCTGTAATTGTTTTAAAATGAGATGCATTGAATTGAAATTCGTTGAGTTTAATTTCATTGCGTCGCAGTGCAGTGGTTGGATCCAATTCCGCCGGAAGGGATCCGACTCACGCAACCACGCGGTCGGAATCGYCCCCGTGGGGCCCGACCGCGCCCGAGGCGATCATTCCGTCGGCCATGTCCTTGAGTGTTTTCTGGACCGGGGTGTACTCCATTCCGAGGAGGTTCTTGGAAAGGGAGTTGTCGTTGACGATTCCCTGGGCCCCAGCATCGTCCAGCGTGGTAACACCGGGCGAGAAGCCCTGRTYGGCGTACAATTCCTCCAGGATCGTGCGGATCTCCTCCTTGGTCACGGCCTCACCGTGGACCAGCACCCGGTGGTTGGCGGCTCCCGGGACCGCAATAGCCCGGAAGTGGGCCCTGGCGACGTCCCTCACGTCGCTGTAGTAGTTGCTCGCGCACTTGATGCTAGGCGTCCAATCCTCGAGGATGGCCTTGAGGAACTCCTCCGAGACGACGTTGGGCCGCCCGATCCCCGGCCCCAGGAGGAGGGTGGGGCAGATGGCCACCACCTCCAGTTCAGGGTGGTCCCTCTGGTAGTCCCAGGCGGCCCGCTCGGCCAGGAGCTTGCTCACGGCGTAGTCGCTCATGCCCCCGGGCCGGTCGGGATTGCTCCAGACCATCTCGTCGTAGACACCGTTCGAAGGGGCGTCTTCCTCGCCGGTCCAGCGGATGCAGGCATAGGAGGAGGTGAAGACGCACCGTTTCACTCCCGACTCGGTGCAGGCCTTCAGCGCCGACAGGGTTCCCCTTACGGCGGGGCCCACCAGCTCGTCGCGGGTCTTGTTGTCGAGATAGTAGGGAGAGGCGAGGTGGGCCACGTAGGTGGAGCCCTCGATGGCCCTCATCATCGAATCCTCGTCCAGCAGTTCCGCCTCGACCACGTCCAGGTCCTGGAAGTGGCTCCCGTAGGCCTCCTTGATGGCGTCCATCTTGGACTTGTCGGCGTAGTTCTTACGGACGGTCGCCCTCACCCGGTAGTCGCCGGATTTCAGGAACTCAAGACCGACGTGGGGGCCAAGAAAGCCGTCGAGGCCGGTGATAGTAACCATTGGTTTCTCGTCGGACTTGCTCTCGCTGGCTTCGTCACTAGTTTCGCGGAAGAAATTCCAAAAGCTCGCTTTTTGCTGCCGGGACAACTGACGATTCTTGGAGCGGCACGCGAGCCTGCTGGTTCTGCTGCCAATGCTGGAACGGAAGACGGAGGAAAGCATGGTGGTGGYAATTTTGTGTTACGTCGTAATTTGTTTGGTTGTAGTTGGACGTTGTGTAGCGAGTAATCAGTAGATAGGTACGGCAATGCGAGTAGCCGATGCAGTGGTTTGTTTTGAATTTATTAGTAGTATGATTTAGACACCGGAACACAAATAGTAGTCGTACGGTACTTGTAGTGCGGTTTATCGCTTTTGATTTTGCAAAGGAACAATCAGGATATTCGACATCGGAACGATAGACATCAACACTGATAGTAAAAGCGACAATTGATTTCACCAGCTGCCCATGATCGGTGATGGGCGATAATGGCTGGTTCTATTTCTTCGATGGACGTCAAGAAGAATCCCCCACAATACTGTAATCGAGGTGCCTATCGTAAAAGTTGTACAGTGTTCCACGATCCTTCACTGATATTTTTTCGAACCAAACTTTCCTCGCGSTTGTCAATTGTCAATCGTGAACGCCTGTCGAGAAAATCAGCTGTCTGGGACACAAAGTACGTACATACGGTACATATGTACTGGACAAACCATGGTTCGTGATGTGATAGCGTACGAAGTACGGTACTCGTACGAAATCTATGTGAAACGTACTGATGATGCTCTCTGGGCTAATTCTATTTGTTGCTAATGAGAAGTACAATGTGTGTGTGCTCTTTAGTCTCATAATGGTTTACAAAAAAGAGTGAGATAGGTCAATAGTATCTAGTAGTACTACTAGTATGCTCTCTATTTTTTCATTTTAATTGCGTGATTTAATTGCGTGATACACCAGAGAGGGAGGGTTCACTCCCTTGCAATTGTGATTGTGATAATGATGTATTGTGTACGTACTGTACTGTATCATGTACGAGTAAGTTTTCTCAATGCGAGACTTGTCAACCTAATCTTTGTTYGACCCTCAGGATTCAATTCAGCAACATCTCTACCCCTCAACCTGCTTCCCTTTCGAAAGAGAAATAAATTTGAAGCAATTCTGTAAGGCACGGCAGTAATAATTCAAGAGATCCAAGTCGTTGGCCACGCCAACGATGGAACTATGGCTTCCGCGTTGAAGATGAGAGGTACCGTGGTGTGTGCAAAACATGTAATCTAGTTGCAGTGACCAGCTGGCAGAGCAAAAGCCTACTAGTAGGTGAATGGGAGTGCCCGGCTACAGCTACTAGTGGTAGAAGTACTGGTAGTCGTAGCTCTCGCAGTGGCTATTCGACCGTTCCAGAAGAAATCGTCGTTTGTGGCCTGTTCACAGGGTAYCTTTGGTGCACGGCCCGAGCTGCGGGGTGCACTTYCTCCCGATCTCGGATCCCGAAAAGACGACCCCCGTGCCCYTGGTGAGCCGGACGAGCGGGTACGAATTGATGATCTTGTGCGCTTCGGCCGGGYTGGGCCTGCCCTCCTCGTGCTGCAGGTGCAGCCGCTCGTACTTGTACCCGCACTGCCACCAAAATATCCCGCACGACTCGTAGTCGTACTTTGGTTTGAGGTTCCCGGCGTCGCAGCAGGACCATTCCGTATCGATGTGGTCGGCATCSWCGACCCGATCAAAGCCCGGCAGCGTGCGGGGGAGCATGTACACACCGTCGTCCTCGGCCTCCGGGCGGACCTCCGCAAAGTCCGCCGAGTGCGGCATGGGCTGGAGCCGGTGGGGYGCCAACACGTTGCCCCTCCGCAGCTCCCTGGCAAGKGCCGCAGTAGAAGACGGCCTCGTCGTCAGCAGTAGATCCGGCTCTCCGAGAAAGACGTAGTTCCATTTTTTTGCCCTCTTCTCGAACGAGCCGCCTAGCCAGCACTCGGTCACGGACGCCGGGGTCTGCTTCAGGAACACGTGCCTCARCTGCTTCAGAGCCGCAATGGGAATGTTGAGAGCGGTATCTTTGTCGCCGGTTCGAGCATCCGCCGTAACGCAAAATTCCATTTCGGACACCAGCTTACGCGACGGATCCCAGTCCTTTGTGGCCTCGGCGACAATYTTAAAGGCCGCTCGGACGGTCGCCTCCTCCGTTTCCGTTCGTTCCTCGGAACCCGACACAACAATTCGCCCCACACCGAGCTGCCGAAGAGACATCAGGGTCGCCGCCAGAGACCATTTCATGAGCTCGTCAGCCCCGTTTTGGCGGTCGGTGTTCAAGAAGGCAATGACGGCAATYGTCGACTGCGACACCTCGAGCCACTCCGTTYGGTATTTGTCGGTGGTGATGTCGTCCCAAAACATTCGCCGATCTTCGCTAAACACGTAGGTTCTGAAAATGTCTATGATCCTGTTCAAATAACCTTCCACGTCATTTCGTTTTCGTGTGCCGCCATTGGGAGTGTACTCCCAAGGATCGAGTATGATCTTCCACCATTTTGACATGTGTTCGATGCYAAGGTCCATCCAGTCTCTGGTCACTCGCATTTGTTTTGCGCCAACCTTCATAAAGACCTGAAAACTCGCTCCTTCGGGACTGGSCGACATGKTCTCCAAGGTTTCGACCTCAAGAAATTTTTCCTTGCCCAGCCACCAGGAGGCGGAAAAGGCATCCTGTGATATGAATTCTTTTTTGGTTTTATTGGCARTTTCAAACGAATCACTCCACGCGAAACCAACCTCGAGAAAATCGACCTCTCGCTGTGGTTTTGGCGACCGATCCCGACGACCTATCGGCACCATGGGTTTCCGGCTTGCCCTGGATGGTATTKGATGGGTAGGAGCCGGCAGAGGCGATGYCGGGGCACGCAAAAAAAACCCAATGTGCATTGAGGATAGAGTGAYTGCCACGTAAAAGACGGAAACGACAATCTTCAGTAGCGAGTAGCCTTCCTCCTTTTCTTCGAACCTTGYTCTTCTTCGATTCAATCGTACCCGCGAATTCGCAGAACTTTTGTCGGCTCTGTGGTGCAGAAAAGAATCGTCTTCATCGGAGGAAATATAGCTAAGATCTACCGTATCGTTGCTGGGAGAATACGGTTGCCTCATCGGGCTGCTGTTGTAATCTCGAACGGCACGCTGGTGTTTGACCGAGATGCTCTTGTTCTGGCCTTTGACGAGAGTCTCCTTGCTCTTTGTCGAGGCGTTGCTACCACTGTCGSAATTCTTCCAAGACCTGTTCATCCCGGTTGCGGTTGCTTCAGAAAGGGGAATGCCGAAAAGGTGAGRCAAGGAAAAAATGGAATGCGTTGCAACGCGTCGGCAATTATTTCTTGGTTCTGTGCTCATCACTTCCTTTCGTACACACGAAATATCACCCAGGGAAATTTGTCTCAACGCATACCGGTAGCAAAAGCATCACTCCTCCAATCAAAGAACAAAAGTGAACAGACGAAACTGAGGTACGTACAGTACCAAGTACTTGTACTTAAGTAATCCTTGAAAATTATTGTTACTATGACTTCGAGCGCAATACTTATCAAAGTGTTTCTGCTGATGCCAAAATTGGCCAGAAAAACTAAAACTGTACTAGTAATTATTACGTCATCTGAATACGGAAACTACGTTTGTTCATACGTACCACTTTTTGGTAAGGCTAACGGAACCGGTACTGCAAATCTTACAACTTGCAGTTGGKTAAATAAAAAATTATTTTTTCTTCSTGCTGTATCAGCAAGGGGAAGAATCTGTAGTATTACATGACATCAAATACTGTAATTATCATGGTCACGCAGTCRAATTACCAAAAAAAAAAGCTCTCTCCTCTCAAGTAATCTGAACCGAGGCAGTTACAAACTCCGCGTCGTGATCTATGTCGATAGAAGCACTGGCGTCCTTTTGGTCTTCGGTTGCGTCTTCTACGACTTCCTCTGTGACAGCCGAATCTGGCTTTTGTGCCTGATTCATTCTTCCTCGTCGGTATTTCTCCAAAAAAGGGGCTTCTATAACAATAACAACAATTAGAATCACCAGGACTGAGATGCCCGCGATAAGACCCGACGATAGATTCTCTCCTTTACCTGAATCTTTGTTATTATTTGCAAAACTACTTGTCTCAGGCGATGGAGTTGGCTTCGAAAGGGTTGGTTGAAGTGACACGGAATCGATAGCTGGTCGGGGTTTTGACCCAAGACCAATCGATCGGGAAGGTGCGATTGTAGGTGGACTAGTGGCAGGCATCGGAGTAGCCGGTGTATGCAATTGGCGRGAGACACACAATGGACAAGACAAATCGATGTTGCGCTCTTTCAGCAAGCGTTGTGGAACGTAGGATGACGGATCAGTACAGGCCTTGGCCGATACAGCGCAATGATATACTCCAGTTGATGGTTCCTTGCAAACACCAGTAAGAACGTCTTCGCAGAGGCACCCACTAAACCAGGCCTTGTTGGGTAGGCGTGCTTCTTCCCATCGTTCCTTGGACAAATCGCATTCCGACTTGTCCCAGACGCATCGAATATCTCTCCAATCACGATCATCGTTGTCGGTTCGGGGTGAACAGTACGAAAAATATGTTGGGAGGCCTGTTTTGCTGTTTTGATACAGGTTGCAACCCGAGCCATCGGCTTCAAAACGAAAGTCGTAGAGACAAGAGTCTGCTTTGTTCGTACACTCTACTTGATCGGTCGCTGATTTGCATTCGCCCCAATTCTGTGTCAGTTCTGCGGGACAGCGGAGACCTTCCTTCGCGAGCCTCTCTGAAGAAACAAATTTAGTTTCTGGCGGACAGTCGATTGATTCCATCGCACACGATGTATAAGAAGATGGAGAAGAATCATTTTCTTTTCGRCAAGCTCCTGCCGTGTATGAATCAAAATACTTGTCTTCTGGATCTTTGCAAAAACGACACTGAAAGGTTGCGCGCTCCGATCCCAAAAAAGCTCTGGCAGAYATCCATCCGTACGTGCTAGGACAATCCCCGGGCGAAATAGCACAGAACGAATTTTCCCGCGTCAGGTTGTTGTCATCTACAGATCCTGTCGTTTGATAGCAAACTCCGGTTGGAACATCTTCGCAGTGGCAGGGGTCGGGGCCCCACTCGGCGGCCCACTTGGAATATTTTAGGTTTTCGTGAGAAAGGCAGTACTGTTCATCGAGTGCGCACTGCCACGACTGCGCATCGGAGTCCCAACAAGCGGGAAAGGTCGTGCGCTTAAATAGTTTCTCGTTGCTGCTCTTGCTGTCAACTAGTAATGAACACGAAGAGTCAATTGATTCGTAGAAAGAAGATTTTGTTCCGCAGGAAATTGAGGAAGGGCCACAACGGTTGTCATCCAACGATGATGCACAGCGACCTATTACCACATCGCTGGGTGTTTTGCAAGGTTGGTTGCTTTCGTAAGGAGGACTGTATACTTCTGCTCCGGTTTCGCAGGATACCTCTGAAATAACGCAACGGTTTACATTCTGCGTGACACCGTCGAGACAAACTCCGTATTGAGGTGTCGAAATATCAGGTAGGGGTTGAAGRTTAGCCATGGCAGAAAACAATTTGACAAAGCTATTTCTGGTATTACATTATTCGTACTCCTTGCAAAATGATCAATTCGTATCAAATTAGGTGCAGGATGTGAGGTAATACCACGTAGTAAATCACGTAATTCACGAGTGAATAGTGAGTGACAGCGAACAGCGCATCCACTCAACACTCAACTCACCCACTCTTTATTGTAAACACGTAGTTATACGACACTAAAGAGCATACATACCTTTTGCAGGTTATGAGCATCAATAGACAAACCTCAGCTCATCACCATCGTCAACAACAAAGAACTGATTTCACTTCTACTTGTCTATCGTGGAGCGATCACTTCACGCTTCACAAGACAAAATCCTATCAGACCTGTCCAATTCGACAGCACTGACACATTTCGGCAAGGATCCAGTACAGAAATCACGTAGACTCCTACGGTACACAATCCCCGAACACCGGTGTCACCAAACACCAACAACTAACACAACGATAGCCACAACAACACTGCATCCCCACCACTGCAACAGAGACAATGGCACCACCAACAAGAAGAAAGAAACAAACACCAAGTCGACATACACGTCGATCGACCACACCACAACCCAAAACTCCCACAATTGGAAGATACCTCGTAAAAACACCACCAGCGATCTCTACCAGGACCACACCAAAACTGACACTGGCACCATATGAAGGGTCTATCCAGAGGGAACTAAGAGCATTAGAACGCGTTTTTCCCCCGCAATCAACACCAGCAATCTACAACGATAAACTCTTTGCGTTTAAACCCAGATACCCTCCCTCTGGTATAAGCTACAAGACACATCTCGGCGTCATCCACACTAGGAACCTCAACAGTACGGACAAATTAACAGCTCTCGGAGAAATCCTCCAGGAACTCCTACACCAAAACCACTTCAGTGTAGTAGATACGGACTCCAGATATCAATATAGCTTGGCTTTCACTGAATACATGAATTCACTCCTCCCAATGAGCACAGAGACACCACCGGAAGCAATTCCCGACAGGCGTCTTTCCAAACCCCCTGCACACCTTGCAGATACTCCTCCGCAAGAACAGGCACAGGAACACCCGCGGAGCCCAGATCCTCCCTCCACAGAAGACCTTCGTCGTGAACAACAAGAACATCACGCTGATACTCATGCTAACAGCGATACGGACACATCAGTATCAACAACTGATTCGATTGGTGCACCCCCGACAGATCTCCTCGACCGCTTTGCCCGCGAACGACAAAGCAACCAGGACACCTCATCAGGACATCTCACCGACCCCACGGAAGACGAGGAAGAATATGACAATGATAAAGACAAAGAAGGTGCTGGTGAGGAAGACACTATGGACACTAAAATTGCCCACTACGAAAAACAATACAACACGATTGATACCGAGATACAGACAATCAAAGATAGCTTTGACTCCAGCCCTCATCAATCAGACACTCCTCCTCCTGATAGACACCACCTTGAGAATAAATGGAGCAACCATCTTCAAACATTGGACAAACGGATCATACACCTCCAAGCGGACTACGAGGCAGTCATCAAATCCACCACTACGGACCTACACACTACCAAAAGTGAGTTAAATGCCACAAAAGCAGAGCTCCAAACAGCCACGCAAGATCTCCGCACTGCTTTATCCACAGTGAATACGCTTAAAGACCAACTTCAAGCACAGGCTGCGGACATTCAAGCTCTCCTCTCCCTCAAACAGGACCTTAAAGCCAACCTGGATGCAGCCGCCAACACCACATGGGCACTCGATCAACGTACAACCAAAGCAACAACAGTACTTTCGACAATTAAGAATGAAACAATCAATCTCAAACACCTATGCGATGAAGCAAGCAGTATCACCACGACTCGGACCCCAACAATCATTACTGCGGAGCTCACTGAACAATTGAACAATATAGTTGAACAAAGCGCGCAAGACCTCAAAACAAAGGCAAAGGAAATTGAGATTCAAGTTACAGGTACAGTCCTCGAACAAACTAGAATCATGGAAGAAACAATGGATACAACAGTCCTGAATATAATCCAGGATAAACTAGAACACAAAGCACACATTGTTCAAAGCTTGAAGGATACAGTCATCTCACAGGCAAAACGGGAAATAACATCCCAAGCAGCAGACACTATCCGCGATATGCACCAGAACCTAACGGAAACGAAGAACAACCTCAAACAACTGTGTGATAATCACATAATGAAACTCACCAATCATCACCAGGATATAACCATGCAGGTGGACCGATCAGCCTCAGCAGCCCAAGAGAACATTGCCCTCACAAAGCACATTGCTGAATCAGATATCACACGATCCGTTAAGGAACACATCATAACTGACCCTTCCGTGGATAACACCATTCAACTCAAGATATCCTCATCCCTCAATCACCTAGTCACCTCAAAAGATTTCCAGAAAAACATCGATAACACAATCCATACATATGTAACACAATCACGAGACCTCAAAGACCTCATCGGTCACCACGTACAAACCATGGTCAGTTCAACTAATCAAACTGATTCCAAACATCAAGAAAAACAAAATAAAAACAATACACATCATACATGGAACACCCACACCAAATCCAACGTCCCCACAACCAATACAAAAACCGACTGGAACAACACCTCTGACACCGACAAGAAGCAACCTGACACCGACAGGCGCTGTGACAGCGACAGAAAATTCGATGCCTACACTGATCGTAAGCACCAGATCTGGGATGAAACATCAACTCATTACCACAACCATCGCATCAGCAAAGCGATCCATGCAATGGAATTCAAAGACTTCGATCACAACCTTATTCCCAATACTAACAGGTATTTTACATCAGCCGAATTCACTGCACTCTACAATGAATTCTACAGCATGATGCAACTGGAAAGTCTCCCCTTAGTACCTCTGGATGATCTCCCCGAACTTGGAACTTGCCTCCCACCACACCACGGTGAGACAAAAGAAAACATAAACAAAATAGGAGCTTACATCTATCGACGCATCTCCCGATTACTTCCTGCTGGACACCTCCTCCTTCGCGGCCTAATTTCCCAATATACACAACAAAGCAAAGGATATGAAGCCTTGTATGCCCTGGCCCGACACTCACTTGACTATCTTAAACCCACACAGAACGGATGGGGCCCGGAATGGACATCAACAGACGACCCCGGGACGTACACAGGAAAACTCCAGGATCACGTCAGGACCAGTCGATTGAGTAGAAACCACAATTACACTGAATACGAACAAAGTCACGAACTGGTTTATCAAGCAATGAAACACTACAATTATACCGCAGGATGCTGCCTGCTTGTACAACTTGATAACCATCGACGAGTCACACCAAACTTCAAGAATAAACCGGTTCCGGATCACCTACAACTGACATCACTTACAAACTTTATCTTGGACCATCCCAACATTCCCCCTGGCACACATCAGCAGAAACCGATCGTAACAAAAATTGACACGAATACCCGTAAGAAATTTGAATACAAAAACAAGGTTCAATGCGAATGCTGCCACACCTATGGGCACAACATTGGGGATCAGATCTGTCGTTTCGGAGCACAAATGCACTTTGTACAGAAATATGCATCAGCAAATCCAACAGAATACAAAGGCAATGCTATCAAACACGACAACATGAATACCAAAAAGGTGGTTAACCACTTCGAGAGTAACCTCAACGGGCGCACCATCACAGAGGCAGAACATGAAAAGGAAAGGGAGGATCTTGCTCAACTATTCACCCCGGTCATCCCCGATGAATAGGATACATGCCGTGTTCCTAGCGGAGCTCGGCCTACGAAAAACAATCATGACCCCCCGGCTTCACTCTCAGACCATGACAATGAATACGGCTACAGCAAGCTCAACACATGGGGATTCCCATTCGCACGAACTCAACCCCACGACAACGACATCTTCACACACGAATCGAACGGTCAACAACACCACCAAACAGACAACAAACAACCACCATTGCGGACCCAGACTTACACACAGTATAATGAGGCGTGTGAAGCAGGAAATAACAGCACTACTAGTAACAGTACTGTACACACAGTACCTAACTGTAATGCACACACAGTACCGATAGCTAACGATACTGAACAGCCTACGGCAAACTCCCGTACTCATATGACAGATACCACCACGACTGATACAATCAACACGCCTAGTACTACTCATACGCAGCACTCACGTGGCACTGAACATACGGAAGACCGATCCCGTATCCCACATAAACCTGAAACAACACCAAAGAATACTCCACGAGCGTATAAATACACACTTCACACCGCTCTAACGGACATACAATGTGATCATTGCTGCGCTTCAAAGTCTTCAGCCACGGATACAACTAATGATGAACAATATCATATGGATATGAATACAGTACATAACATAACACACAGCAATGCCCTTCTTCCGTTTGACCTGCACAAAGACTCCCTTGCGTCGGACTGCTACCAAACCCGTCTACCATACATCCGCATGACCCACTCGACACTTAGGAAAAATATGAGGAAACACATCCTTATTGCGACCACACACACAAATAACGCCACCACGAAACACCCCACCGACTCACCACAGGCAGATACGGGCGCAAATATGTCTGCCACGAATCAACTAAACTTATTACATGACTATATATCATATAATAAACCAGAACCCGTTGGAGTCTTCTCCGTGGACGCCACACCAGCCAACACACTACATGCATACGGTGAAGGCTACATGTGCATCATTTCAGATCAAGGCAATACTATGCGTTGGCGTACACTGTACACACCACAATCTACGGGCACAGTCCTAGCACCGGAACACTACCGGATTACACGTAATCACTACGGATTCCTACAGATAGGACGTGCAAACGGCCGAGGAACTGTAAGCTTCATAAACAAGCTCAACGATACTGTTGAATCTATCCAAACAGTAAGCCTTGACAATGGACTGTGGTACACAACAAACAAAGTCCTCATCGTTAACGCTATGGAGAATATCCATATAGCAACGGAGCTCCAACAGTATAAAACGAAAATAAGTAAAATGACGGGCCACTTTGTCCACCAAACCACGAGCACACCTCACGACAATACTAACAGCTGCACCAAAACATGGTCCTCTGGACTC